TCTCTCATTCTCGCTCTCTCAAATAAATAAATAAATCTTTAAAAAAAAAAAAAAAGTCCGGTGGACACCCTACGGGTGTCTGTCCAACTCACAAAGGTCCTTCTCACACTCGGCAGCCACGTTGGTGTGGTCTGGCACACCAACTGACTGGATGAGGTGGGTGCTCAGGGTGAGCTGGCCCGATCGGATTTCCTTCCCTAGGAATCTGGAATTAGGACTAAGAAGAGCTATAAAATCCAGCAGGTATGGCACAGGCATATTTTCTAACATGTCAGATGTGAAGAAAAACTTTCCTGAGGCCAGGCTGTGTTCCTGCCCTTGGGTCCCTTGAGATATCTCCCCATCCTTATATTAAACTCGCCTTTTTGCATAAGGTGGTAGAGTCTCCAAAGATGGCCGCCATTAATGCCTTCCTTCCCTGGGGGTCTAAGTCGCTCTTCCATAAGGAGAAGGGACCTATTTTCCCTCTCAAAGAGACGTGGAGGGGCGATGCCCTGCCAGTTCCAGACCCAGATGCTAAGCATCCTGGCAACTTCCATCTTTGCTCTCTCGGGATCTGGCCGCCGTGTAAAGCTCAGGCCAGATTACTGAAAAAGCAGAGATCCCACGGAGAGGGTGGGCCACAAAGAGAGCGCTGAAGCACAGACATGGGTGCTGAGCTTTCGCGGCCCTTGCAGGGAAGCCCAGCCACCAGCTGAATGCAGCTGAGCAAGTGACCCCACCCCACACCACATGGAGCAGAAAACCCACCCAGCAGAGCCCTGCCCGAATTCTCAACCCACAGGATCATGAAAAATCAGAACTGTTGTTGCTTTGAGTCCCTAAGTTTTGGGTGGTTGTTATATAGCAATAGATGACTCAAGCAATCTCCCTGGAATTCATTCCCTTTCCTGCAAAGAGCAGTCAGGGCATGAAAAATAAACCCCACTATCCCACTTAGCACCTCAGTAAGGGACATGGGCGCAACAGGAGGCTGTTTAATGAGTTTCCCTGCTGGTCATCATCTCTCCCTCCAGGGATGCTGAAGAGAGCAGAGCTGGGTTGTGGGCTGAGTGGCGAGGCAAGGTTTAGACACCCCCGCCCCCCCCCCCCCCCCACTCCACAGGACAAAAGCAAAGAGGCTTCTGGGAGAGAAGCAGCTCTTGTCTGCCGCTTGCCTGGGGTTCCCTGGGGTGGCTAGTTCTAGCCACAGTGCCCCAGGGAGGGAGCGCCTCCTGGGAGGCCTGAGGGCGATTCTTCCCCAGATCTGTCAGAGCCTTGGGAGCACGCAGACCAGTACTGGCAGCTTTGGAGGTACAAACAGGCGAACAAGAACTGGAAGAAACCACTAGACCAGCACGCAACAGGCTCCAGCTTCCAGTCCCACAGTGTCCACCCTCCACACCTGAGCTTTTAAGATTTCCATGTTCTTCAGAGTCTAAGAATTTGGGGCCAAGCCTTCAGGAAAGACACCTAAGAATTAAAAGCAAAATTCTGAAGGTCAGCCAGACAGGAATGTGTATCTTGGCTCTATGTGACCTTGGGCAAGTGATCTTGGGCCAATCACCTCTCTGAGCCTGTTTCCTCACCTGCAAAAGGAGGACAATAATAGCACCTACTCGACAAGATTGAGAGGAGCAGTTAACGAGTTAATCCACAGGAAGTTTTAGATTCAGTGCTTGGCACAGAGTAAGTGCTCAATAAACGGTACCTAGTATGATGATGATCTTTTATGATGTTTATTAATGATGATCTCCCACCAGTCCCAGATGGCTTTCCCTCAGTTAATAGGAAAGAAGATTCCACATCACAGAGCTGGTGTAAACGTGGAAGGGTTCTCAGGTACATCTGCAATTTTAACCATTAGAAGGAGCTCATTAGCTCTGAGAGGGCCAGCCAACAGCATGGTACGGGGTCCTCCATCAGACACACCCAACTACTATAGAGTCTGAGCAGGAAGGACCCCGAGAATCAGCCTGACCTGCCTCATTAGATGGGGGAGGGGGACTGAGGCCCCAAAGGCTCATTGACTGAGAACCCTGGGTTCTGAAGTGGAAGCCCCAATGGCACCCTGTTTTCAGCCTTGCTTCGTGTCTGATGTGTCATCTTGCTTTCCTCTGACTCCACTCTGATCCCTTCCCAGGGAAGCATGGAGAGAACAGGAATGAGGGCAGGTTTGAGATCATAAGACACAAATCACGCTGGCTTTGCCTCCGGGAATGCTACCAGCAAGCACTGGCTGCTGGCAAGAGCCACAGCCACAATCCCGCGGGGCTGTCCACCCCCACTCTGCCAGAAGGCACACCATCTCAGCGAAGGGACACTCTGTCTTCAAGGGCTTGGCCCCAGCCTCCCTGGAAGCCTCTCAAATTCCCTTTAGGGAAGCCAGGGCTGCTGGAATTCCAGGGCTTGCCAAACAGGAGTCTCGGGGCATTATTCTAGAATAGAGGCCTTGGCCAATGTCAAAAACTGAGCTTCCTTAGCAAAGTCATCTTTAAAGGACTGCCACTCTTTATGGAGCGTGTGCTCTGTGCCAGGCACTACGATATCCCTTTGCACCCTAATTAAACACTCACCAAGAGTTAGGTGCTAATGCTGTCCCCATTTTACCGACGAGGAAACTGAGGCATGGAGAGGTTAAAGTGGCTTACCTAAGGTCACACAGAGGGGACATGGTAGAGCTGGAATTTGAACCCAAGTATCTCTGACTCTGGGGTCCCAGGAATTAACCACGGTGCTATTCTACCACATCCTCAAGTTAGCTGGGGCGATATGATAAGACATGGAGGACAAGGCAGGGAACCCATCTATCTTGTTCTAGAAGGCTCAAGCTGGAATCTGCTCAGCCCACAGTGACCTCCATAACTTTACCCCCAGAGGCAGCCTGCCTGCCACGTTTGTACAAGACGGTTGGCACCCCAGGCACAGCTGATTGGATGAGAGACAGCCCCTGACACAAGCCAGCCAATCAGAGCGCCTTCCCTGGGAACAGGGACCCTCTCGGCCACAGGGGATGTCTAAAGAAATTTGGGGCTGCATGGTCTGCCACGTTCGCTCACTCATTGAACAAATATTTTACTGCACCCCTACTATGTACTAGGCTCTAAGAATTTACTAGTGAACAAAGTGGGCAAAAAAATATCTACCCTCAGTAATCTTACAATCTAGCAGGGAGATATACAATAGTCAAACTAATTATGTAAAATATAAAATATGTTACCCAGTGGTAAGTGATATGGCAGAAAAAGGCTGAGAGGAGTTTTGCTTTTAAGCGTTTACCCTTATTACCCATATCCCTCACTTCAAAAGGCTGAGGCCCATTGTTGGGTGAAGTGAACACACACACACACACACACACACACACACACACAGACCTCCTGCCTGGACAACTCCCCACTCTGGTTTATCTTTTAAAAAGCAAAATAAGAATGCAACCCCATAAGCATGCCTCTGGAGACTTACCCCTTCAGCTACCTCCGGAGTAAGCAGATGGAGGGTGTGGAGCATGATGCTGACCCTGGCCGTGACAGGTGTCTGTCGTCTGTCAGCAGCACTCCCCATCCTACCCCGAGTAAAATGATCTACAGAGGCTCAGACCAAAGGCACCAACTTCCACTTTCCATCCAAGACCCTCGTTTGCCCCTAGCTGAGTATGTGGGTGGAGAGATAAACGGGCGCCTCGGTGCCCACATCAGTTGTAGGCAATTGGCAAAGGCTACCCCTGGCAGAAGGGCCTGGGGAGGGGGCTGTGGAGGAGGAGGTCTATTTGAGATCTTGGTCTGGGAGGACCCTCTGGGGGCCTGGCAATCTGACAGCCAGTTTACCACCTGTGCCAAGAGCCCCCCATACACCCGTACCCTCCCTTGGTCCCCCCTTCTCTCCCTACCCCCACTGTCACCCCCATTTCGCCCAATCCTCCCTTTGCAAGACCACCCACATACTGCCCCCTCCCTCTCTAGCCTTGGCCTCGCTCATTGATTTTGTCACTCTCTGACACACGTCACACAGCCTTATATCCCTTGCTTCTCTCTCATACACATTCAAAAAAGCTCTGCCCTCCAAACTCTACTTTTTCCCTTCTTACCATTTATGAAAATGAAGTGTCACCAGGGTCTGGGAAGTGTACGTGCCTCACTCCACCTACTGCTTGCAACAGTCTTGTGAGATAGACTGTCGTGTCCCCTGCTTGACAAGCGAGCGAACGGGGGCTCAGAGAGGTGAAGCATCATGCCCAGGACCCATAGTGGGCAAGTGGGGAGCTGTGATGGAGCCCCCCGTTCTTCAGAGTCCAGACCCACTGGTTAACCTCTGCCACCTCCCTCTCATGCTGTCTCCCTCTTTCAGGATCCGTTTCTGCCATTCTCTCATATAAATTCATCACAAATGTGCTATTTGACATACTGTCCCTAGACATTCTCCTCCTTACCTCTCCCTCAGCTGTATATTCTGGTCTACAGTGTCTCTAGAACATATTTCTACACAGCTGAGATCAGCCCAGATGCCCTGTGCTCACAACTACAGGCCCCCAGGCTCCAATGCACTGCCCTCTCAGAGCTCCCCCTCTGTAAGGCACCCCCAGCCACCAAGCCCCCTCCCAAGCCAGTCCCCAGCCCATTCTGTCTCCTCCTTCCTGAGCTCTCCCACCTCGTGCCACAAGGATTCCAGCTGTGCCAGTTGGGGGGGGGGTAGTGGCAACCCCCCGGGGCAGTCTGCCACCCCCCCCCAGCACACCTCTGAGCACCAGTCTGCTGGCCCTCAGGCCTCAGGGGCTCTCCAGATGGATGGGAAGTGTGCAGTCTCACCCGATTCGCTCCTGTTCCATCTCTTCCATCTTCTCAGCTCGAGCGATCACTCTGTTGATGATTTCCTTCTCCTCATCTGTCAGCTCTTCCTGCTTCCTCTGTCTGTCGGGCTGACCACCAGGATGGACGGACCAGCCTGCCTGGAGCCTAAAAGGTAATACGGGGAGGCGTGAGGCTGCAGAGACGCCCAGCAGGAAGCAGACAGTGGTGATTAGGCTCTGGTCCCTGGGGTCTGGTATACCTCAGTTCAAATCCCTGCAGGGAAACTCACCAGCTGGGAGATGAGCCTCTGTTTGCTCATCTGTACAATGGGATGCTTTCTTCCCTCATAGGATTCTGATGAGTTTATTTCTACTAAGCACTTAGCACACGGTAGACACTCTGTGAGCAGCATTTGTAGGATGCTCATGAGAACCTGGAGAGTTAAGGGTGTTCTCAGGAGAAGAGTCCAGAACAGAAGACTCTAGAGCTGGAGCAGAAACAATTCTGGGAGGGTGGTCGGAAGCCCTGGGTCCCAGGTTGACCCAGCTCCTGCCTGGCACGGATGTTCTGTTTGGGCCACAAATGATTTCTTCTATAAACTGGAACTAATAGCCAACTGGTTTACAAAAAGCTCTTCATTTCACATCAACATCCAGATTTCCAGCCTCAAAAGCTCCCGTAGCTTTTGCATTCCATCCTGCACTTTCCTTGGCCTTTCTTTTCTTTTCTTTTTTTGAAAGCCAACATTGACATAGCACCCACTGGGTGCCCACATGACCTCATGTCATCCTCACACGGTCCCTACAAATATGGAGAAATTAGACCACTTGCCCAAAGTCACATGGCTGGAAAGTGGTAGAGGTGGAATTCGGAGCTGGGCAGGCGCCTCACTTAACCTCCACAATATGGAGGGAACCCAAGCCCTGCCCACACAGCTCCAGTCGGGGCAAGCAGATCAAAGGCTGCTGGGTGGAGAGTTGATGCTGTGGTCTATGGCAAATTATTATAATCTCCGCTAATAAGATGGTTCACGCCCCATGGCACTGAGGTGCACCCCCTGAGGGGAGCGCAAGGTTGAACACCACTAGAAATGTTTGTCCCTGCTAGGGAAGAAAATCAGTAAGTAGGAATCCTCCGGAGCCAGCACCCCATCAGTTGCCAACCTCTATTATTTCCACTGCTCTAATCACATCAGCAGGCATGAAATTGCCTTTTGACACTCAAAGTTGAAAATTAAAAGCCCCATCTTCCTCCCTCCCCTTGGCTTCTCTTCCATTCTCCCACCCTTAGCTGGTTTGTTCTGAAAAGCGGAGAGGGAAGAGTCCGAAAGCAAAGAGAAACAGTTGTCTGGGAGCAGGCCTTACTCTGAGAAAGGAAAGGAAGGTGTGGCCTGGGGAAATTCCTCATGGAAACACACCTTGCCCTGCAGCAAGGGCCTCTGGGGATGAGCAACTGCAAAAAGTGCTCAGACTATGCTGCTCAAACCCTCCAATGACTTCTCACTGATTTAGAACAACACCCAGAACTACATAGTGGTAGTGGGTGCATGACATTGTGAATATGATAACTGAATCGTACACTTTTAAATGGTTATTGTTATGTTAATGTGAATTCTACCTTCATAAAATAAAACCTGCTTTAAAAGATTTTGCCCATCTGCAAAATCCTACCCGATCTATCCTTAACCTGCCTCTCCATCCTTATGGCCTCTTGCTTTCCCTTATCCCTACAGTCAGCTGCACTGGCCTCTTTGCTCAGTCCTGAACACTGTCTTGCCTCAGGGCCTTTGCACCTACTGTTCCCCCTACCAGGAAAACTTATTTCCACAGATCTTTCCAGGGCCGTCTCCTTCTCATTATTCAGGTCGTGGCTCAAATAGCAGCTTCTTGGAGAGGCCTTCCTTGATCTCCCACTGCCCAGATTTACTTTTCTCACGGCACCCATCACTAACTGAAATTATCTTTGGAAAAATTTTTGTTGTTTACCTGGTTAGTGCATCTCTCCACCCATGCCCCCCCCCCCACGACAATGTTGGTTCCAGGAGGTCTGAGTCTAGGCCACTACTGTGTCAGTTGTATTTAGAATAGTGTCTGAGAGTAAGCACAGAAAGATTTTGAATAAGACACGGTCCCTTGTGGCCCAAAGATGTGTTAAATGTCTAATCAAAAGTGTGACCCAATTATGCTAAATGAAATAAGTCAATCAGAGAAAGACAAGTATCATATGATCTCAATGATATGAGGAATTTGAGAAACAAGACAGAGGATCATAGGGGAAGGGAGGGAAAAATGAAACAAGATGAAACCAGAGAGGGAGACAAACCAAAAGAGACTCTTAATCTCAGGAAACAAACTGAGGGTTGCTGGAGTGGAGGGGGGTGGGAGGGATGGGGTGGCTGGGGCGATGGACACTGGGGAGGGTATGGGCTATGGCGAGCACTGTGAATTGTGTAAGACTGATGAATCACAGAGCTGTGCCCCTGAAACAAATAATATATTATATGTTAATTAAAAAAAAAAGTTGGTGAAATCGAGGGAAAAAAAAAAAGTATGACCCATAGGGAGACCCAAGCAGTGGAACCTGGTCAGTCTATGGGACCAAGGACAGCTCCCTGGGGAAGTGACATCCATGTGAAGACCCCGACAAGGGTCTACTGTGATGCCGGCGAACCTTACATTTGAGACCGTTTGTTTGCATAGGTACCTTCTCGGACCCCAGGAAGGGCATTAGCACTGGCTGAGTGATTGAAAAATTTGCAAAAGCAAGATATTGTTGTTATCTTAAAGAGGGCCCCCTAACTTATATAAGCTTCGGGCCCCGCAGCAGAGCTAGGGCCCCTGCGGAGACCCCAGAGGGGTCTGAAATCCGTGAGGGGATGGCAGAGGAAGAGACCAGGCCTGGCGGAGGGAATAAATGGTCTTTGCAAAGGCCTGGAGTTGAGAAAGGTGGCAGAATGCCCGAGAAGGTGAAGGTCCATGTGGCAGCCAGCCTGCAAGATGGTCCCCTAAGACCCCTGCCTCCTGGTATTCACACTGACTCCTGGCTGGTCCTCTGTGTGACCGATGAAATACAGTGGAAGTGGCAGTGCATGACTTCCAAGGCTGGGTCGTAAGAGTCATGCAGCTTCCACTTTGGTGTCTTGGGTCATTCGCCCCGAGGGAAGCCAGGTGCCATGTCATGAGGACGTGCAAACATCCCGGTGGAGAAGTCCACATGCAGGGGATCGGGGGCCCCCCAGCAACAGCCAGAGTCAACTTGACTGCTACGCGATGCTCCAGCCCCCAGCAAGCCCTGGGATGCCTGCCGCCCAGTGGGCATGTGACTACAGCTGCATGAGGAACCCAGTCCAGCCACCCTCAAATGCCCACCCAACAGAAACTGTGAGATGTGACAAGTGGTTTCTGCTGTCTTGAACCACTAGGTTGGAGGTGATTTGGTCTGCAGCATTAGATAACTAGAAATACTCGGCTGGAGGATAGAGACAGAGCAGCATAAAGACCCACCTACAGTGTCAGGATACAATTTCTGTTGCTGCATAATGAGTTGTTACAAACTTAGGGGCTTAAAACAACACACATGTATTATTTCACAGTTTCCGTGTCCGTCCAGGCCTTGCTAAGCTGGGTCCTCTGCTTGGCATCTCACGAGGCTGCAATCAGGTGTTGGCTAGGCTGTGTTCTCATGTGGGGGCTTGACTGGGGAAAAATCTGTTTCCAGACAAATTCGGGTTGTTGGCAGAATTCATTTCCTTGCAGCTGCCTAAAGTGAGGGCTTGGCTTTTTGTTAGCTGTTGTCAAGAGGCCACCCCCAGGTCCTGGAGGCAATCTGCAATTCCTAACTAGGTGGGCTTCTCCAATTTCATCCTGTGGGCTGCTTGCTTCATCAAGTATTCTAGGTGAATCTAGCTCCTGTCAACTGAGAGTGTCTTATATAACAATGTAATCATGAGAGTGACATCAGGCCCCTTTGCTATATTCTATAGGTTAGAAACAGGTCCTACATCCCAGGTCCCACATTCAAGGTGAGGGGATTACACAAAGTCATGAACACCAGGAGATGGAGACCACTGTCTGTCTGCCTTGCTTGAATGCTCCCCACAATGGAGACCTCACTCTCTTATAAGGAGCCTGTGATGTTCTGTTAAAAAGATCTTCCTGGGCGCCTGGGTGGCTCAGTTGGTTAAGCAACTGCCTTCGGCTCAGGTCATGATCCTGGAGTCCCGGGATCGAGTCCCGCATCGGGCTCCCTGCTC